GGAACCTGTTCAGCCGCGGCTCAAGCTGCAGCGGGTCGATGAAGGCCACAGTCTCCACGCCCAGCATCGCCTCCGTCACAACACCCACAACTGCATGAAGACGTTGCGCTTCCATTACTGCCTCAAGTGCAGCACTAACGTTGTTGCTTGTAGATGAAATTAACTGCACATTGAGCTGCCCCTTATTAATATAAACAGTATCGTGCTTCATTATTCCACCGTAAAAGCCAAACTTCAGCTGCGTCATAACTTGTACAACCCAGGGAATATCCACAAAAAAAAAGGCAAGCCCATTGAGCGATGTCAGCAACGTTAAGTTTGAAGCCTGACACTCTGATAGTGGTAGAACAAAGATTCCTCGATCCAGATCTCTGGCCCGATAGTCCTCCACAAACCGCTTCATGTACACCGTGCGGCCGCCCTGGTTGCAGCGGCAGGTGGCACCTTGCGATGCCGCCGCGCCTTTGCACTGCCAACCGTAGTCCCCAATCACAAGGTCGCCCACCACATACCGGCGTTGGTTGAAGAGAGATGCAATGAACGCCTTGCGATTACTCACCCATTTACGGTTACTCAGCGCCTGTGCGAGCACCTCGCCGGTAATCCACCCATCAACCATCAACTCGCCGTCGCCGTCATTCTTGAGAAAATGGTCGCTGTCGTTGTAGTCCGTCTGCCCACTGCTCCTCAGGTAGTCCCGCATCACTCCCTGGAATTCCTTGATGGCTTCATACTGTGTGTCCTTCGCAAGCGGGTTCGTCCCCGTCGTGACCACCTGCCCGGGCACAAACTTCACACCACCATCAGCCACGGCAGCACGCCACGTGCGCAAAACAACGTCCTGCACTGTCGAGGGAGCCAGCAGGTACGCGCCAGCGGTGCGATCGTCCGTCAGCATTTTCCTGATGAACTTCATGGTGTCTCGTATCGGCGAGCCAAACACAATCACAGCCTGCGGCCGAGTCGCAGCAAACCGCTCCCACGCAGCATCGAACTCTTTCGGGTCGGCCTCACCTCGTACAGCACTCTTCACGGTGAAGATGCTGCTCAGCTCGCAGCCCACCTCCGACATCACACGCCGTGCCTGCTCATACTCGTTGTCACCGTAGGAAACGCCCCGCAGGTACATGAAGCCCAGCCGAAGCACACGCAGCTCATTCACGGCGTAACGGACAAGTGCCAGCAGCTCCGCAGCAGGCTCAGCGCGCAAAAAGTACATGTTGGGGTTCCACCCACGCACCACACTTGACCCAGTGAACGGGGCAAAAGCAACGATGTCGTGTTTCGCAAGAACGTTCTTTATATTCTCCAACAGTTTGTCACCGCAGTGACCAACGACAGCGTAAATACGCTCGTCCTTCAACGCCACAGAGAGATCAGATGGGTAAGTAGTGAACGTTGTGTTATTGTAGACAATCTCCACACGCACACCGTCCGCCACAGTGAACTTCCGTGAGTGCAACGAAGCCTTCAACCCGGCAACGATGTTTCTGGAAAAGCTTTCAAGCTCTGGAATATTGAAGCGAAAAACCACAAGTTTAACGATGCTTTGGGACGCCGCAGATTGAGCACCAGCACATGGAAAAACGAACAGCAGCAGCAGCACAAGAACAGAGACGACGGCAAGGCACAACGGCGCAGCACAGGGTCGCAAGCCCAACTGCGCACGGCCCCCTCGTCGGCCCCAACGCACCGCCATACCCGCTGCCTTGAAACTCTCTTGGTGCGTAGCCTGTGGATTCCTACGGCAAAAAAAAAGTGAAGAAAAGCGGACACGGTGCACAGTCAGCAGAGGAGAAGACAAGTGAGCGCTGGTGAGAGTATACAACTCAACAGCAGCTGGCAGAAGCGTATTAATAACACATACGTCCGGGGCAACTGGGAAGCCATTGCTCTGCAGCACTGGTGCGTTCAATGGCCGTTGCCCGCATGGAACCATCCGGCTGAAATTGTCCAAAAATATATATTGGAAAAGTAATATAATCACGATTGGATGTGCCAAAGTCAATCTGCATGTGTCAGGTGATAAGTAAGGCCGTGGCAAGACACAGGAAAAGAGACGGTGCGCTGATTTTACTCTCACAGGGCTCGCTCAAAGATATACACAAGCACCGTAGTTGCAGCGCTGCGTCTCACTTCCCCGCCATCGTGCGTGCCGCAGTCGCTGTGAATGCGAAGAGCCGGGCAAAGTACAGTCAGGACAATCTTCACAATCATGTACGCAGTGCCAGCTGAGTGGGTGGATGTGTGTTGCGCCAGCGCGGGCACTGCAGGCGACCATATTGCCCAGTGCACAACCCGGCCTCTATGAAACCCATCCTGACACGTGAATCGCCGCAACGCACAGGTGCGTCAGTGCGAGTGGTGCCGCGTTCTGCTACGCTTTCCAAACGTCCGGCACCTGAGGTCGGGGACGCCTGATTGACTCGCTCTCGCAACGGCGGCCTGGGCGCTGCCGGAGGCACTGGTTTTTTTGTGCGCGGTGCACTCAGAGCCTCTCAGACTCCGTCCAGCGCCGGGAAGCCGCCCTATCGCGCCTTCTGCCATCATGTGCCCGCGATGTGTTTTTCCAACAGTCACCGTAACACCGCACTGCAAGCATACAACA